CTGTGCTTTGAAATCAAGCCAGGCTCAGGCCCAGGGGCAGGTGCCCAGGGAGGGGCGGGGAGAGCCTTCCAGAGGCGGAGAGAGTCCCGGCCCGACTCACCCACACTCCCCCTCTCTCTTCCCAAAGGCGCCCAAGCTCTGGCAGGGACGAGGGAGGCAGCACATCCTGTCTCCCAGCAAGACTCCCGCGCTGCCCCTAGAGGAGCAGCTCCCTCCTGTTCTCCTCACCTGGGTGCACGGCTCTGGCTACCACCAGCCCGACTGGAAGCATGCCCAGGTAGCAGCCACTGAAAGCTCTCAGGAAGATTTTCCCATAATGCCACAGAACATGGAAGCAGGTCTCGGGCTCTCTGCAGTCGCCATTGGCCACCACGCTTGTGCTTTCCCTCTGGAGAGAGGAGGGGAAAGGTCAGAGGTAAAAGGGCGCTCTGCTTTGGAGCACGGGGGGGGGGCGTCATCTCCCCCCTTCCCCTGGTCTTCTTTTACTATATATATGGAAATTGTTTTACTTTACTTTACTATAAATAGCCCGCCCTTCTCACTGAGACAGAAGGCGGGTTACACAATATAAGTCAATGCAGTCAATGAGGTGTGACATCTAATAAACACATTCAGAGCAGGATTACACAAGTTTGAAAGCCAGAAGTCTTCGACAGGATATGCTCAACAGTGCAGAAAATGGCTGTGCATAACTAGAAGTCAAAGCCGTCAGAGCAGGGCAACAGGTACAGCACTGTTCACAGCCAGGGGTCTAGTCCACAGTCCGATTCTCCTACAAAAGCACCTTCTCGAGCCATTCCGTCATAATAGAGCTCTATTACCTTGGTGGAAATACCCTCCTGCGTCATTCTGTGTTACACAGTTTGAGGAATGGCAGACGTGTGGGAGCCTAGGGCACTCCACAAGGCAGGGGCCACAGCGGAGAAGGCATGTGTACAGGCAAGCTGTTGGTCTTGCTCACTTGTAGGGTGGCGCCCCGTGAATACCCTGCCTGAAGGACCAATGCCGCTGTGGCAGAGCATAAGGGGAGAGGGGCAGTGCTGCAGACATGGGGGGGGGGGGTCCAAGGCCACGTCACAGCCGGCACCTTGTATTGAACTCGGTAACGGATGGGAGGAGATGAAGTGACTGCCGAACAGCAGTGTGACATGCACGCTCCATCTAGCTTCTCATGTTAATTGAGTGGCAAAATTCTGCACCGACTGCAGTCTCTAAATTGACTTTGAGGGGAGACCTATGCAGCGGGCATTAGAGTTGTCTAGTGTGCGAGTGTTACCATAGTGTGTGTGGACCCAGGCAGCCAGACTGGGTGAGTCAAGGCAGGAGGACATCTTCCAAGCTAAATTGAGCTGGAAGAGAGCACTTTTTCTGCAGCTGCATCCTCTTGCTTGTCCAAAAGTAATGCTGGAGCCAGGGTAACCCCGAGGCTCTTAACCGAGTCAGGAAGGGTCAGCTGTACCCGATCAAAAGTGGGAAAGCACAAAATCAGTACTGTAACTAAAAGTTTAAACTGAGGTTCACCCCCAAAAGTCATGTTCACTATGTGAATGAGCTGTTTAACAAATGCACTCCTTTTTCTCCGTCTTGGAATCTCAAACGATATAGTAACTTGAAAGGGGTTAAAAATGCTCAGCTTTTCCATTCCTACTGCGAAAGAGCTTGGAGGTCCTTTCACCTCCAGTTTCGCATGCTCAAAATTCTGGCTGCAAGGCAGGCTAATGACTTCTTCCCAAATTCCTGGGTGTGAGGGTAGGAGGTCCACCAGGTATGCTCTGACTCTACTTGCACACGTCCACGTTGCCCAGCATCAAGGCTCAGCATCACAAGGGGCTTTACTTGGCTTGGCACACCAAGCTGTGGTCGTATAGATTTTTAAAAATGTGTGAACATTATTTTAGGGGGATTGTTTTGCATTTGGGGCCACCTTCCATTCAGGTAAATGAGGCAAAATGATGATTCCTGCCCTTCTCTAACTCAGTTCAGGAACACCCCGATTTGGCCGGCAGAACAGCAGGCTTTTCAGAAGAAAGATCCCTAAATCCTTCATTGAATTCCTTGACCTTTCAAGTCCAAATGATTTTGTTGTTTGCTTTACAAGTAAAGTGAAACACACTCCGTTTTCCCGTCAGTGGTTTTACACTATTTCCTCCCGCACCCCTTTAGACAGTTACATCAAAGCATAAAACATCAACCTTAGCAAACACGGCTTCTTTAATGTGAGCTTACCCAATTTAATTTGCTTAATCGTATGGACAGTTGTTATTGGATCCACCAGTGCTACCAGCCGTAACTGACCCCACAATAAACCCTGTGTACATCCAGGCCCATAGCGTTACTGAAACTCCAGCGTAGGAAGAGGCAGGGCTTCCTGGAACCACGGTGCCTCTGCTGCACCTCGAAGAGCAGCAGAATCCTCCTGGGGAGACTCTGGCAGGACTGGGCACAGATGGTGCTCTTTTGAAGGCCCACCCACAAAAGCCACATTCCCTACCTGGGTGCCAGATCTTCCCCAGCTGCCTTATAAGCACAGCTGGACTGGCCTTCACCACACAGAGGTGAGTTAGTACAGCTTCCCCTGGCTCTGGGAGCAGGCCTTTGCAGCTCTTGCTGTCCTTGGGATGCCATTCGACTACTGGGCAATCTGCCCCTCCCATTGGCAACAGCCATCTCAAGGGGTCTGGGTAGCCCTTGGGGCACGACACTGTGCCCTTGAAGAGGTCTACGGGCTCACTCTGTTTGTTCCATTGCAGAAGTGCTGGGCCTTGACTACTCAGCAGGGGGTTTCTGGCTTCTGCAGAACGAAGGACAGGCGTCCGCCTCACCAGCTGCACTGAAGTGGTGGGGAGGGAGTAGAGAAACCTGTGGTTCTTCGTCTTCTACCAGTGAGGAACCCGTGTCGCGTGGGACCTGGCCCCAGGAACCACAGTGCCTCTGCTGCACCTCGAAGAGCAGCAGAATCCTCCTGGGGAGACTCTGGCAGGACTGGGCACAGGTGGTGCTCTTCTGAAGGCCCAACCACAAAAGCCACATTCCCTCTCTGGGTGCCAGATCTCCAGCTGCCTTATAAGCACAGCTGGACTGGCCTTCACCACACAGAGGTGAGTTAGTACAGCTTCCCCTGGCTCTGGGAGCAGGCCTTTGCAGCTCTTGCTGTCCTTGGGATGCCATTCGACTGGGCAATCTGCCCCTTCCATTGGCAACAGCCATCTCAAGGGGTCTGGGTAGCCCTTGGGGCACGACACTGTGCCCTTGAAGAGGTCTACGGGCTCACTCTGTTTGTTCCATTGCAGAAGTGCTGGGCCTTGACTACTCAGCAGGGGGTTTCTGGCTTCTGCAGAACGAAGGACAGGCGTCCGCCTCACCAGCTGCACTGAAGTGGTGGGGAGGGAGTAGAGAAAGGAGGCTCTGGAGTAACCCCTCCCTCCTCCCGCTCACTGATCAGCTCAGATCACAAACCCCTGCGGAATCCGCCGGCACTCCCCTGCCCCCACGGGCTTCTCGCACAGCAGCACCCCCTGTCCCCTCCACACACAAGAGTCCCCCACCTGCCTGACTTACCTGAGCCAGGTATCTGTGGTTGGTGCCTTTTAACTGCACAGTTCTGGAGTCCGGGTTCACTTCCAAGTGGAAGATGGACATCGGGGTCACCTTCTTGGACCCAGCGTACACCTCTGAGTCTGGGGGAGGAGGAAGAGGATGTCTCCTCAGCCACCAGGAGGCTGCCAGCGAGCATCTCTCTGCTGCTCTCACCCACCAGCACACACATGGCTCGAATTGGCTCACTCACTGATTGCAATTTAAAGTGCAGGTTTTAACTGAAGCTGCCCCTTGGGAAAGGCAGCTTGGTGCTCTGGATCCACACCAAACAGGCGTTTACTCTTCCCCTTGAGGAGAGCCCACCATGAGCCAAGACGGCTTACAAAATGTAAATATACACAATTATAAGACAAAACACAAATTAAAATGCATGAAGTTAAAACATCATCACTAACAGTTACCATAGACGTCCATCCATTCATTCACTTCTGCTAAAAGTGTAGCAAAATAAGCCTCCTTTACAGAAGGGGGAGAGTGTGGGAGCTCACAGCACCAAGGCTGGCAGGCTACTCCAAAGGAGGGGGGCAGCCGCTGAAAACGAGCAGAGGCTGTAGCGGAACGGAAAGTCAAACAGAAGGGAGATGTCTGATGGATGCCCTTGGGGGGCATATGAGCTCATACAGGGAAAGACAGCCTATTAGATAAGTGGGTCCCAGGCTGTGAAGGGCTTTAGAAATAACAAACAGGACCTTGAACTGTGAACCTGCCAAAGCACAATGCTCCCTGATCATGCTGGTGTGAACCAGTCAGTCATCTAGTGGCCGCATTTTGTTCCAGCTGATGTTGCGTCTACAGGAGCAGCCCCCACATGGATCCACCCCACAACCACCCTCTGACACTGTCTAAGAGCAACAGCTTAGGGCCACTCTGCGAGGTTCATGGCTGAGTGGGGGTCTGGACGTGGGTCTCCACAATCATAGCTAGCAGTTAACCACTGCTGTACACCGGCTAGATGAGTCCTAGCCCGTCCGCATTTGTGAATGAGGAACCACCTCTGCTTCTTGGAGCAGAAAATGGGATCTACTTGCCGCATACGACAGTCACGTATCTCTTGGTTCTAGTCCTCAGACTGACCCATTGTGGGCACCTCCTAATAACAAACCACTCTTCATTATCATCGGGGTTGTCTCCGAGGCGCAGGAGCCCACGACTTCCGTGCGGATACAGGACACGTCCCTCCCGGTCTGTCCTGAATGGCCGGCACACCGGCTTAGCAGTCTCTGCAGATGGCTTCTTGACAAGCTTCTCTGACCTAGAAACAAACTCGTGGTGGGAAGTCTCCAAGTGATAGACCCCACCCCTGAACCTCAGGATGAAGCTGCACTCCTCCAGGTAAGGCACCTGTGTGTCGACCCAGACCCGGTTCAGCTCTGGATCGGCTCGTGCGTAGAGTTGCAGGCGGGGGCTGAACACGACCACGTGGGCGTGCATGGCCAGCTGAGGCATCCACATGTGGTAGGGTGTCAGGGCCCGGCTGATGCAGAAGACATCTTCTCCGTCAGACTCCAAGTACTTCCCGCTCTGGAACTGCCGGAGGGTCCACGCCCCACTCGGGTGCACTTCCAGGAGGAAGTGCCCCCGCTCTTCGGGCACGGGCTGAGCACACCGGACGGAGCCATCGGGGTCAGCCCGGAGAGCTTGTCCTTGGTGCCCTCTCAGTTCCACCACCGTCTGCTCCCCTTGCCTCTGGCTGACCTTCAGCCCCCAGGTCTGCAGAGGCCAAAAGAGAAAAATCCCCAAGACGCCCCAGAGCAATGAGGTTAAAACCCCCCCCCCCAAGAGCTTGTCCTTGGTGCCCTCTCAGTTCCACCACCGTCTGCTCCCCTTGCCTCTGGCTGACCTTCAGCTCCCAGGTCTGCAGAGGCCAAAAGAGAAAAATCCACAAGACGCTCCAGAGCAATGAGGTTAAAACCCCCCCCC